CTCTGTTCCATGTGAATCCCCATCAAGTGTAGTCTTCATCTTTTTATTCTTGGTAGGAGCCATTTGGAAGTCCTAGTTTAGCTTCCCTAGTGGAGTTGCGAAATGTTGGGGCTCTTTTGGCGCGGGCCTGTCGACGTGGAGGGTGCGAAACTCGTGGCCTCATTTGGTTGGTCGACGTTATATGTACGTCGGTCATACCCTGTCAGTGTGTCGGTCGTTAGAGGCTAATGAGCTTCTAAGTGTGATTTTTGACGTCGAGGATGGCCGAAGTGAAGACGTTGGCCCCGGCTGGGTTAGGGTAAACCCGGATGACCCCGAGGACAGCGGTATCCGAGGGCGACATCTGTTGCGATTCCGGCTCAGAGATAGTGAAGAGTCTCCGATGAAGACTTCTAGTGAGCATATGGAGTGGGAGAGGAATGTAACCGGTTTATGGAGGAAGTTCCTAAGCATGTAATTGAGTTATATCCATTTGTTTGTGAAGAGAATGATTTCAACGGACGTAGTATGTTGGACGGGATAAGGCTCAGTTTTAGAAATATTAGGATATGGCTGATGTGTTTTCACCACTTCCAATGGGGAGAACGCCTAGAAACTTGTTCTAGAAGGACTCCGCCGAAAGTTATGGAGATTAATGTTCTTCGTCAGGCATTCCCATAAACCAAAAACCAAGAGGTGAATAACCGGCTAAGAGGAGAGTTTCTGAGCTTGTTGTTTTGTGTATTTCAGAGACTCCTCAAAGCTTTTAGATGTGTGATAAGCCATATTCACATGTTTGTGAAAACCAACTGTAGGACCGCGACGGACGTAGTACGTCGGTCGGCAGAAGTAAACTTTGGGTGTTGTAAGCCATGGGTGGGTATTCTCAAAGGTTATCCAAAGCTTTAACCACTTCCAATGAGGAGAATGCCTAGAAACGCGTTCTAGAGGAACTCCGCTGGAAGTTGTGGATATTAGAGCTCTCTGAGGAGTATTTCGGTAAGTGAAAAACCAAGAGTTGTAACCAACAAAAAGAGGAGGTTTTAGGCTTGTATTTAGGTTGTTGATGTTGGGTTTTGATGTGTGTTTAGCTTAGGGAAGAACGCCCGAGCATTACTTGCTCGGAGGAGCTCCGCCGGAAACCATGAGAAGAGAAGAGTTTCTCTTAAGTTAGAGAGCTATGCTTGGCTTGCTCTCTCTCCCTTTTCCCCGTCTTTTTCTAGAGTGTAGGGATGTGGTATTTATAGGCAAGGATGGGGGCTCCAAGAGGAGGGAAATTTCCCTCCAAGAGTGTTTGAATCTTGGCTAAAGCCTATGCATATAGTTGTGTCGGTAAGACGTTTTCAGTATGGTTCAATGATGGCTTTCACCTCTTACAGGCAAAAGCATGCCAAGAAGATGCAGGGATGGGCTGCTGAGTAGCCAATGAGAGCTCTCTTGGTTATTTTGGGTGAGGCCAGAGGAGGCAGCCAAGGGGTTAAGAGTTTGCTCTTCCTTACTTGTGTTACTTGCCCTTTTATGATATTTGGGGAAGAGGCCGCGTTTGACCTCCCGGAGGGAAAGGGAAATGAGAGGAAAAAAGAAATGATATGGGATAAAAGGCCATTTTGTCTTTTAGTGCAAGGTAATGGACCAATAGGCTTTTTCTAGACTATTTAGAAAAGGTTTGGAACCGTAAAGTTAGTAACTGTAAGCTTAGGTAATTTGTTTTACTCTATCTAATTTCCTCCATAACTCACATTATCCTAAATTTCTCATAGACCTGAGGCCTCCCAAGTGAGCCGAGGGTTTAATTAGACTGGATAAAATGGATATGTTTACGTTTTTTGGCCTACCAAATCACGGCCTACGTAAAAGTCTCCAAAGCGTGACTTAGGTCCACATACCATATCTTAAGTCGTCTTGTGGGATTTGGGCCGAATCCGTACCATGTGATTTTTTAGGCATCAACAACCATCAACAGATGCCACGGTTGCAATGAATTTTTAGTCATCTATTTTGTTATATTATTATTTTTCCTGATTTAAATAGTATGATTGATCATGTGAAACGAAAAACAAAAAAGAGCAAAGGAATAGACTATACTTTTCACTTGCCTCCCTAATCACTTTTATTTACTCTGAAAAAAGAGGGAAAACTACGTTAATTGCCATTTTTTCAAAGCATTTAATTGATTTTGGGTGGAGAAGAAATGTAAGACGTTAATTAAAAAATATATATATACTGAAAAGAAAGACGTAAAAATGAGGATTTATCTAGAAAAAAGAAGGTAAAAAACGTAAAAATAATGGAATGATCACGTTTTATATGAATATATCTACTTTTACCTAATTAAGTGTAACTTGTCAAATGACATTATGTTTACGTTGAGAATATGTACCTTACTTAAGAGAAAAGTGTAAGAAGATATATTAATACACTCAAAAAGTAAGTTTAATAATTTTTTCTTTATTTTATTTATACCAAATGAGGCTTATATGACTGATCACGTTTTACATGAATATATCTACTTTTATCTAATCAAATGTAACTGGTCAGACGATATTATATTTACATTGAAAATAAATACCTTAATTAAGAACAAAGTGTAAAAATGTAGACTTATACACTCAAAAAATAAGTTCAGTAATTTTTTCTTTATTTTATTTATACAGTACGAGGCTAATATATGACTCATCACGCTTTACATGAATATATCTATTTTTACCGGATCAAATGTAGCATGTTTGACTATATCAATTATTATTATTGTAAGGTTGTGAGTTGTAACCACAAACAAAATCTAATAACACGAATTGCCACCTTTAATCACAAATGCCTCCTAACTTTACTCTTTGCTTGATGAAGAGATGAACTCAAAGATTTTAGATTTTAGCATGGCAAGAATATTTGGCATGACAAGAATATTTGGAGGAATAAAAAAACGAACTAAATACAAACCGAGTAGTCGGCACGTAGTAAGTCCAACCCCTTGACTCTCCAAACAAAATTTATCTGAATCATGTCTGAATTTAATTGATTAAATTTAGCGGTCATATGCCACCTCAATATACAATGAAGGGTCTCTTTTCAGTCAAGTCACCTGAATATGCAACGGAGGGTCTCTTTTATTATTTATTTATTTATTTTGTTGTGGATGAGTGTGCCGGTGTTATTTAAAGAATGTTTGATTGGAGAATTTAAACCATGATTTAAATTATAATTTATAGTTCGTTATAGTATTTTTTCTCATAAAAAATACACGTAAATAAAAAATAATTCTAATTACATGATTTTAATTTATGAACCAAACGTCTATTTCATAAATTGATCTTTTGTAAAGAGTCTCGCCGGCATAATTTTGTCGTCGTCTGGGGTTATGGACTTATAGTCAATAGCTTTGTCGTTCTCTCATTAATCAAGTCGTGCTTCTGTGTTGTTTGGACATCAACGTAATAATGCAAAGTTAGCCACTGTCATGAAAGCAGCAGAAGCGGGAAAGGTATAACAATCTAATATTTTTTAAAAAAAAATATTTTCAAAAAATGACATGTAATTTATACTTTGAATAAACAGTCCTGTATATACATATATAGGGTTAAAATGCATATCTCCTTCTTTAACTTCACCAAATTTTCGGTATGGTCCTGAAGTAATTTCATTTGTATCGTTCGTAAATTTTGTTTAAGTAACATCTAGCTTTAGCCCCTCAATGAAAATCCCACATTGAACTTGACTGAAAAAGTAAGGGACTGGATCAATAAGGGGGATGAAACATTAAACGAGTCATATATATTGAAGTAAGATGGAAACTTGTACCATATCATCGATTGAACGAGTCATACATAAGTCATACATATTGAAGTAAGATGGACACTTGTACCATATCATCAATTGGACGAGTCATATATATTGAAGTACGATGGACACTTGTACCACATCATTAATTGAAGGGCGATAACTGATATATTCATATGAATACATTCAGGGATCGTTTATTTTACCTATTTAAGTTTTTAATTTTAATTTTATTATAGTTAAAAGTTTTTATAAAATATTACATTTAACTTTATTTTTATAAAAAGTCACATATAATTTTTTTTATTACAATAAAAAATTATTACATAAAGTCACATCTAACTCAAATTAAAAACTTAAATCTATAAACTGAACGAGACCTAAGTCTTTTTCTAGTACCCGTTCATTCACAATTTTCTCATAATATTCATTGTCCTATTTTTTTTATGAGAGTTTAATTGTAAATTTTATAAAACGTATATAAATTTTAAAATTTGAAATAGTATTATGCATTGAAGAACAAAGCAAGTAAACAAATCAAATACGCTAATTTTACACTCCTTAATGTTAAATTAACGTTTATATTAGAGATGGTCTAAAATATTTAATGACATAATATACATGTGACAAGCCTTAATTTCGATTTTTAAGGCTGTAGCACGAGCTTAGACAATCTTATTTTTTCAGACTGCATGTTCACACTATATAGACGTTATTAGACCTTATGATAAGATGTTAGCACATTATACACGCTTTTAAAGTCGGATATTACGTAAAGACTATATTTTAAGGCTGTAGCACGAGCTTAGATAATGTTGTTTTTTCAGACAGCATGTTCACACTATATAGACGTTATTAGACCTTATGATAAGATGTCTTGTAGCAAGCATTAAATTTTTTTCAAAGCAGAGGTAAGCATGCAGATATATATGTGTATATAAATATATATACATATGTAGCACTATATCTCTATATATAGGATACACTGGATGCACTAGGTATATATCTTCCTCATTTTCCGTGAGATAGTTATATTGCGTTTTGGAATAAAGCGGACAAGATCAGAAAAAATTGAAAGCATTCAAAGGATATCATCACCAATATGTTTTTAGCCCGTCACTTCTCCGTATTAAACACTAGGCTTCAATTTGTTCACAACTTCACATTTCATTTAGCGCAAAAAACCAGTCCCGATTTCTCTACTTGCCATTTTTTCTCGTCGTTTCTTCGTTCTTGTGAGGGAAATGGGTGGAGAATTGAGAGATTGCAGCCTGTTACTTGTTCCTTTTTTTCTATTACTTTGCCTGTTTTCATCCCATCATTGCTTTGCAATTTACAACATTACTCAGTCTCAGGCATTGTCTGAAGGAAAAACTCTCATCTCCCCGGCCCGCATTTTCGAGTTAGGCTTCTTCAGTCCCAACACTTCGGAAAATAATCGGTATGTGGGAATTTGGTACATAGGAATTTCTCCGAAAACACTTGTATGGGTCGCCAACAGAGAGAATCCACTTAGAAGTACAAAGTTTCCAGCAAGTTTAAAGATCAGCAACAATGGAAATCTAGAGCTTGAAGATGGAAACAACAGTTCTGTCTGGTCAACCAATGTTCACGTGCCGTCGCATAGTTCAATTGTGGTTCTTTCGGACGATGGAAACTTGATTCTCAAAGATGGGATTTCAGGAGAGAATTTATGGCAGAGTTTCGATCATCCCTGCGACACGTTCTTACCAGGAATGATACTAGGTTTCAATGCCAAAACAGGACAGAGCTCTGTCCTAACTTCTTGGAAGAGTGACACCGATCCATCGCTTGGGAATTTCACCGTCGGGATTTCGTCAAAGTCGAGGCCAGTACAAGTTTTTCTTTGGAGCGGATCAACTCCTCGCTGCAGAACTGGCCCATGGAATAGATTGAAGTTCAATGGCGTGCCGGAAATGAATGTGTCATACCGAAGCCCAATGACTGTCGTGGAAGACGCATCGCAGAAAGTATCGTACATCTCTTTTAACTCATACACCAGCTCCTTCCTCTCAAGGGCTTTCATTTCATCCGAAGGTGTTTTCAAGTTTATGATAAGTGTTAAAGGCGATGGTAAGTGGTATACCAAATGGCAGTCAACAGATAATCCCTGTAATAGATATGGCGTTTGTGGACCTAATGGGATATGTAAGGCGTCTCAGTATCCGATTTGTAGGTGTCTGAAAGGCTTCGTGCCGAGAGCATATCAAGAGTGGAGCAAAGGAAATTGGACGCAAGGATGCGCGAGGAAAACCAAACTATTTTGCGAGAAAAACACTAGCACCCCACCTTCGCGGGGAGGAAAAAGAGATGGTTTTCAAAAGTTTGGTAGTATGAAACTTCCTGATTTTTATGAATATCTGTTCCTCGCGACGAGCTCGGATATTTGCCGTACAAAGTGTGTGGATAATTGTTCTTGCATAGCTTATGCGTATGTAAATGATATAGGATGTTTGGTCTGGTCGAAAGATCTTGTTGATGATCAGGAGTTTTCCTCAGGCGGAGAAGATTTTTTTCTTCGTCTTCCGCACGCAGAACTAGGTGAAGAACAATCTTGCTCTTAAGAATTCTGCTATTTGAACTTTTTTTTTTCTCTTCCCCTAAACCTGATTTGTGCAAATATTTTCCATTTACTTGTTCAGTTGGAGGACACAAAACGAAGAAGATTATCATCAGCCTTGCAACTCTTCTTTCTATTGTGACATTCGGTGCCATACTGATACTATTGATTGTTTTGCACAGGTGGAGAACTAACCAAACAAGTAAGTAAATGATGGTTTCAAGAAATTTAAATTCTTCCTGCTTATTTTTTGATGGGAAAGTATCATGTTGCGGATTTGGAAGTGTGTATTAGTAGGCTTTTGTCATGGAAAATGATAATTTTGACTAAAGTTTATTCTGTATATAATTTCGAAATCATGATTTTAGTTTGAATTTTGAAACGATTACAAACAGGGTAGCCCATGTAGGGTCTATTGACAACTTGTGCACAATAATATCTCATTTTTATTTCTCTGTTTGGATTGTTTGGAGTGATTTTCCAATCTCCTCAATCGGTTTCCATAAAATCAAGTCTAAATTTGACACTCTAAAAGCAGAAACCATTGTGAAGACCTCACAGAATTTTCATTCTATTTGGGCAGTAAGAGACAGCTCAAGATCCACACTAAAATATTCAGATCAGACTGATGCATCCGAGTTTCCTCTTTTCGACTTCAATAGCATTTTAGTTGCTACTGATAACTTCAACATAGAAAACAAACTTGGGGAAGGAGGATTTGGCTCTGTGTACAAGGTAATTGTATTATTTATTTAGAGACATTTTCTTCGTTATATCGATTATACATGCGCGTGTTAAGAGACTGACAAATTCAAGGACTAATTTGCAGGGTATACTGCAAGATGGGACAGAAATAGCGGTGAAAAGACTCTCTAGTAACTCAGGACAAGGCATGGAAGAGTTTAAGAATGAGATACTATTGATCTCCAAACTTCAACATAGAAATCTTGTTAGGCTGATTGGATGCTGCATTGAGAAAGAAGAGAAATTGCTAATATATGAGTTCATGCCTAACAAAAGCTTGGATCAATTTGTCTTCGGTTGGTTAACTACGCAACACCTCTTGCTGCATTTTTACACCTTATTTTATTTTATTTCTTTTTCTGTACTTTAAACAACTTTATTATACACTCCGCAGAGTACAGTTACCAAATCTATATTCTCATTGTCCTAGAAATGATAGAATATATTGTCATCGACTAATTTTTACTTGGTGTATTAATTAGATGGAAGAAGAAAAGCACAACTTGATTGGCCTACTCGTTTCAACATTATAAGCGGTGTTGCTAGAGGTCTTGTGTATCTCCACCATGATTCCCGTTTAAGAGTAATACATAGGGATTTGAAAGTCAGCAATATTCTCTTGGATGCGGAGATGAACCCCAAAATATCAGACTTTGGGTTGGCCCGTATTTTCCATGGGACAAAAGATCTTGCAAATACTCGTAGGATCGTCGGAACTCTGTAAGTAACCTTTCTATACTACCACTTTCAGTGTGCTAGCTACTGAACATTGAATGACAAAGTGAAACTAACGAAATTTAATATTTCAACCAAGTGCAGAGGTTATATGTCTCCAGAGTATGCGTTACGTGGGATTTTTTGTGAACGATCAGATGTCTTTAGCTTTGGTGTGTTGATATTAGAGATAGTCTGCGGTAGAAAGAACACCAGCTTCAATTTTGATGACCAACACCAAAGTCTTATTGCTTATGTGAGTTCAATTATTTTCCCTTATAAGTTTGCTATTTTTCCTATTTGGATGGATATGTATTTCAACGTGACTGATGAGGAATGTTTTTCCAGGCATGGAATTTGTGGAGTGAAGGCAGAGAACTAGAAATGATGGATACAGCATTGGAAGAGTCATATTCGTCATCAGAAGCAATGAGATGCATACATGTTGGGCTTCTCTGCGTCCAAGATCATGCTGTTGATAGGCCGACCATGCCTGATGTCGTTTTCATGCTAAGCAAGGAAACAGATCTACTCCAGCCCAAACAACCTCTTTTCACTTTCCAAGGGTCGTTCTTATGTGAGCTTCAAGAACAAAACCACAGTAAATGTTCGGCAAATGAAGCCACAACATCGATCGTTGAAGGTCGATAAGTTTTGATTAGTGCTAATTTGAGTGGTGACATAGAGCACAAGCCAGCAAGATGCATGTGGCTCAAAGAACTTAGTTGATACTGCTATATATAGTAAGTAATGTCATAGTGAGTAATATCAATAAAGAAGAATACGAGTGATGGGATATGTAATGAGGCATGTGAATTGATTAGTAAAAGTACGCGAGTAGAAATGGTGAATGAAGCGTTTACCAAGTCATATTGTAATTATGATACCTAATAATTAGAGTTTGGATATACAAACGCACGCATGCATTTTTCTTAGTTATTAAATTAACGTGATTTTTTCTTGTAGTGTTGACATGGTTGTCGTTGCTTATCGAAAAAGTTTGCCACGTACATGTTGATGTGATTTCTCATTGAATACTTCGTGGTAACAACATGACTTACAAATGTGTCCCAAAAATATATCTGCTCACTTTAATGCCAAAAGTTGTGTGTTGAATTTAGAAGTACGCTGAATCTGGAGAGCCACCTGAAACTTTCAACTACAACCAAAATTCTTCTCTTAGATGCTCCTTTCAAGTAAAGAAAATGTGGTGGAACCGATAGCATGATACTAAGGAAAATTTTCACTACAAACCTCTAGGCTTGTTCAATTTGTTCACAACTCGTCTTATAATATATCAAGACAGTTGTCTGGGGGTTTTTTTTTTTTCTTCTTTTTGGAAAAGAACTTTTGTACTTGTTCATTGTTTTATTATCTTATAATTTTCATTCCTTTGGAAGAAACTAGGTGCAGAGCGTTTTCCTTCCTTCCTAATGATAATGTCATTTTTGTCACATATAAACAAAACGATCATTTTTATAAAATAAAAAAAATCAGCCATTTATAAAAAGAAATGGTTAAAAAAAGTCACGTAGCATAAATTTTTTATTTTATTTTAATGATGACATTTAAAGGAAAATAGTAGAAATAGGCCAATATGAAAAGCTTAAGAAAGTATATATACCAATTTTTAGTTATAAAAATTAATAAGTCATAATTTGTCAAGTTATAGTTCATAACCAGATAAGTTGTGGACAAACTTGTCAAGTTATGGTTCATAATCCGACAAGTTATGGACAAAAACCATGAATTATGGACAATAACTTGTCAAGTTATAGTTCATAACCAGACAAGTTATGAACAAAGACAGTAATTTAGCATATTTATTAACTTATATAAATTATTGACCTATTAATTTTAATTTATCTCAAGTCTTGACCTATTTCTCTCTTTTTTCCTTTTTAAATTCTGTCAAAATAATATGAATCTGTCGCCACTAAGTGCATGGTGAAAAGCCCAAAACCAGTCATCAGTGCAATTTATAGGTTATTTGGTTGGAGAATTCGTCCCCTGATTCGAATCATGGTTCGTGGTTCGTTACAGTATTTTCTTTCACAAAAAATACACGTAAATAAAAAATGATTCTAATCACATAATTCTAATCTATGAACTAAACGTCTCTTTATTTGCTAGACATAAAATAGAATCTTTATTGTTGATTTTTCATTTTTTTTTTTGGAAGGACGGTACATTCATAAAAATAAAAGTCATATGTTTGAATAGCATGAGGAACATCAATGTTGACAAACACGCATGTTGGTTTACGTGAACTTCGACGAACTCTCTATAAACAGGACATAAATCAACGAAAAGGACGAGCAATAGATGCCTCCAAAAGTATCTGAAACTTGGTCAACAGCTAGCTAGCGTTTAAGAACGACCATTTGTGTTAGTGGGTTGTATTTATGTCAATTTATTTATTAATAATTTTAAAAAATATTAATCTAAATATAATTTATTTATTAAACGTGTTAAAAATATTAACTTAAATATAACTTATTTATTATTTATATTAATCGTGTCAATTCGTATAACTCATTTAAATTAATATATTAAGAAATAATTAATATAATAATGATTTATTTAACACGGTCAAGATAAATTTATCATATTTATTAGTTAATTTATCTTTTTTTAAGAAAAATAAATAAATTTTACTTACAAATATTAAAATTCATATTATTTGTATTTAATATGTCAAATAAACTTTCATGTTATATCACATATTATTAAATTGCAGATAACACATATAATTAATCGTATCAATTCGTGACACTTCGTGATAAAAATCGTGTCAAAACCCGCTAATTTTATGCTGATTACGAGTCATGTCGTCTTGTCACTACTCGGATTACAAGCCCTAGTAGCGTTTGAGTTTTGAAGAACGTGGAATCTGGAGAGCCACAAGAAATTTTAAACTTCAGCCATAGGTTTTCAACTTGGATTTTTCTTTCAAGAAAAAAAGGTACTAAAAAGTGGAATTGATAATATCAAAACGAACTCCATATACTTCTTGTGACTCCTCCGCAAATGGGTGCAGATTTTGTTCCCATATTGGTAATGGTAAACTATTTTTTGTTCTTTTCAAAGTATTGCTTTGCAATAGATAACATAACTTCATCACAAAATTTATCTCGAGAGCAAACTCTCATCTCCCAGGGCAAAACCTTTGAGTTAGGCTTCTTCAGTCCTAACAATTCAGCTGATCACAAGTATGTGGGTGTGTGGTACAAGGGAATTTCACCTCAAACAGTTGTGTGGGTTGCCAACAGAGAGAATCCGCTTAAAGCGACAGACTCGCAGGCAAGTTTCGAGATCGGCGACGATGGAAATCTGAGGCTTGTGGATGGAAACCAGAGTTTGCTCTGGTCAACCAATGTTCATGTCCAATCAAACACTTCAGTTGCAACGCTCTCGGACAAAGGGAACTTAGTTCTTTATAATGATGGTGCGTTGACCGGAGCTTTGTGGCGGAGTTTTGATAATCTCAGTGACACATTATTATCTGGCTCAGCAGTTGGTTTTAATGTCAAAACAGGAAAGACCTATGTCCTGACTTCCTGGAAAAGTAACAGTGATCCATCAGTTGGAAATTTCACTGTGGAGGTTTCATCACAATTCAAGCCAGTACAAGTTTTCATACGGATAAATGGATCATCTCCGCACTGGCGATCTGGGCCATGGGCTAGATCGACGTTCATAGGCATACCGGAGATGGACGATTCCTACCAAAGTCCATTTGGTATATCCGATGATGCAGATCAGGGAACTACATATTTCACTTTTAACTCGGTCAGTGGCTCGTCTATGACTCAAATGTTGATTTCATCAGATGGTATTCTCAAATACATGTCGAAGGAAGAAGACAGTGATTGGAATGTCAGTTGGACATCACAAAAGCGTTCATGCGACATATATGGAATCTGTGGGCCTTTTGGCGTATGCAAGGCATCTGAATATCCGATTTGTAGGTGTTTGAAAGGGTTTGTTCCAAAATCAAAAGAGGAATGGAACAAAGGGACTTGGACACAAGGGTGCGGGAGGGGAACCGACTTAATTTGTGAGAAAAACACTAGTAGCCCATCTTCAACGGGAGGAAAGAAAGATGGATTTCAAAAGGTTGGTAATCTGAAACTTCCAGATTTATATGAATATTTGGAATCTGCGGACGATTTGGATGCTTGCCAAACATGGTGCTTGGATAATTGTACTTGCAGAGCTTATGCGTATGTGAAGGGCATAGGGTGTTTAATCTGGCTACAAGGCCTTGTTGACATTCAGGAGTTTACCGATGAAGGAGAAGATCTTTTCCTTCGCCTTGCACGGGAAGAACTAGGTGAGAATTATGATACTCTTGAAAAAGTCTGCAATTTTGAATTACAATCCTTTCATTTCCTTATACCTGATTTGTAATATTCTTCGTTTTTTTGTTATTATTTAATTGGTCAGCTGGAGGACAGAATAACAAGAAGATTATCGTCAGCCTTGCAACTGTTTCTTCTGTTGTGACACTAGTTGCACTATTGATTGGCTTGCATAGGTGGAGAGCTAAGCAGAAGAGTAAGTGAATAATTTGGCAGCATAATAATGTCTCTGTTTCTCTCTCTCTCTCTCGCGCTCTCTCGGCCGCACATTAACTCATAATGGAAATTATAATATAGCAGCTGAATTTTATACTTGTACAGGGAAATTTACTTACAAACTTTATGTGGAGTAGTTTGTGTTCTACGTTTTTGGGCTTGTGAGTCTGATTTTTTGACCCGACAAAAACAGGAAACATTGAGGACACCATGGAGAAGCCTTTTGTTCAGACAAGGGGCGATGTAATATCCAGTACTCCATTTACCACAAAACAGGATCCGTCCGAGCTTCCTATGTTTGACTTCAATCGAATTTTAGTAGCCACGGATTACTTCAGTACGGGAAACAAACTTGGCCAAGGAGGATTTGGTCCTGTGTATAAGGTTGTACTCTGTTTTAAGATAAAACTAACGCATTTTGAAGAACTTAAAGATGCAAATGTGAAGGGACTGACGAATATGGGAAGTAATTTGCAGGGTAAACTACAAGATGGGACTGAAATAGCAGTCAAAAGACTCTCAAGTAGCTCAGGACAAGGGATGGAAGAGTTAAAGAATGAGATGATATTAATATCCAAACTCCAACACAGAAATCTTGTTAAGCTCCTTGGTTGTTGCATTGAGAAAGAGGAGAGATTGCTGATATACGAGTTCATGCTTCACAAAAGTTTGGATAACTTTATCTTCGGTAGTTTTCCTTAATTCTTTCCTTTTCTGCTAGTTTATTATCTGTTAAAGTCGATCTAGCAACCCGCAGGAGAGTTCTAATGCCTATGTGCAACGCATAATCTATTTCGGTATGATTTTTTGTTTTCTTCTGACAAGTCCGCAATAGTCATTGCCATTTAATGCTACTGCTTAAACAACTTCATTTATATTCCTAGCACACTACAGCTAAGAAACATCTATCTTCTCCCCGTCCTAAAGTAAATATGGAAAAGACTACACGACATCAATTCATTGACTAATTTTTACATCGCGCATTTATTAGATTCAAGAAGAAGAGCGCAACTTAGTTGGACAACACGCTTCAACATTATAAACGGTGTTGCTAGAGGTCTTGTATATCTCCACCGTGATTCATGTTTAAGGGTAATACATCGAGATTTGAAGGTCAGCAATATTCTCTTGGATGAGAACATGAATCCGAAAATATCAGATTTTGGATTAGCGCGCATTTTTGAAGGGACCTTAGATGTCGCAAATACTCGCAGGGTCGTTGGAACACTGTAAGCATCCTTTATGTGTTGACATTCATGCATCTGCTACTGATAATTATAGAGACACTAATGAAAATTTCTTGTTTCGATTGAGCGCAGAGGTTATATGTCTCCCGAGTATGCCATGGGTGGGATATTTTCTGAGAAATCGGATGTGTTTAGCTTTGGTGTCTTACTACTAGAGATAGTCAGCGGTAGAAAGAACACCAGCTTCCTTTACCAAGATCAGCACCCAAGTCTTATTGCTTATGTGAGTTGGCTTATATTCCTTTCTCTTAATTTTCCTTAGTTATATTCAAATTCAGCATTACTAAAATAAGATTATATAATGTCAGGCATGGCACCAGTGGAGTGAAGGAAGGGAACTAGAAATGGTGGACAAAGAATTGGAGGATTCATATTCTTCATCAGAAGCAATGAGATGTATACATGTTGGGCTTCTTTGTGTACAGGATCATGTGACTGATAGACTAACCATGCCTGATGTCATTGTCATGATAAGCAAGGAAACAGATCGTCCTCAACCTAAACAGCCTTTATTTATATTCCAAGGATTGTCAGGAAACGAAATTCAACCACAAAACGATAGCAACTCTGTGAACGAAGCCACCACATCAATAATTGAAGGCAGATAAGTTGAACATCTATGTATTCCAATAAAGTCTTAGAGCTTTTAGATGCACCAAATGGAATGAAACTGATTGAGTGCAAGTGGATCTAGAAGAGAAAAAGAGAAGTAGATGGAAAGGTGGAAACCTTTAAAGCTTATGTGTGCTGTGGCGCTACTGTACAAACATGGAGGTCCGATTTGTTTAAACCGGCACCACGAGTTCCAGAGCCGCAACGCCGACTCCTCTATCATGCTTTCTTTGAAATAGTCAGATATTGTATCCAAAACAAACAAGCAATGATTCCTTCATTGGGTTAATTTTGATTTATAACCAATGAATAATTGCCCCAGTTTTGCATCTTTCATACCCAAATATTACCGAGCCTCCACTTAACATGGTATTGTCCGTTTTAAAGCCTAAGCCTTTAGGTTTTTACTCTTGGGCGTGACTTTATACCATTTGAAGGTGGTGTCTTTACTTATAAACCACATTTTATAACCTTCCTCTAATGACGTGAGATTGTACAACTTATCTTGTCTTTGCTCTTTTGCCCCAAGTGATTAATGACCATCACAAAAATTTATGTTAAAGACGTCCATCTCTTCTGCAGAACATTTCCGGATGAAAATTTAGTTGTGAGTCGAACCAAAAAACACCTTTTGTTTTAGGGTAGAAGCCGTCCCTCTACATTGAACTGAAGTAAGAAATGTGGGAGCAAGGGCTGAGAAAAAGTTGAAACCTCAATTTTACATAGGCAATGCAAGAAAGCAAAAACGAAGAATCAGACAAGATGTAAAGAGCAAAAATCTTACGTGAAGAGTAAAAAGAGGAAAAAAAAAAAAATAGAGAACTTCAGAGAAAGAAAAGGAGGATGAATTAAGACAGTTATAAAGTGTGCGAATTTGAAAATAAAACAAATAAAATAAATAAAATAAAAAAGGGGGCTAATCATTTCATTATTATGACTATTTTGATCTTCTTTATACATGCAGAAAGAACTTCTCCCTCTCAAGTTACATTGTTACTCCTCACACCATCACGTCTTTAAATTCAAAGTGTCGAGTGGAAATAAAACAAAGGGTCCTCCTACTGAAAAATGACATCCAGTGGCTGATAATATGAGATACATAGGACACTCCTAGGTTGGCACATGGTCGTATCAATAAAAAAACAAAAAAACAAAAAAGTTTAGAATCCAAAAACAAGTACTGAAAACCAATAAAACAAAAAGACAACAAGAAACAATATTCCTAGAGAAAAGGCTAACGAAGACAACCAAATAACCATATTCGCCTTCAACTTAGCCGACTAACAAAGTTGCTAAAAATTGCACAACAAGGCATGTTTTTCAAGATAAAAGGAGAGTTTTTAAGAATTTCTCTACGGTTATCTTTTTGTAGTTCAGATGACTTTTGGAATTTCAGCATAAATGGTATTTTTTCAAAGATTTTTTTTCATAAATAGTTGAAGTTTTATAAAATTATAAACTAACCATATTTATTAATTTATTGGTCAACACTGATTGATTTACCAGTTTATGACTGATTGACTTAGCGGTCAATCACTGATTGACTTAGTGATCCATCACTGATTGACTTTAGTTTATCACTGATTAACTTGATGATTCTTCATTATTAATCAATATCAATTAATAATTAACTAAAATCACTTAGTAATTAATCAATTTTAATCAATTAATTATAAATTTATTAATAATAAATAATTGATAAATTATGGGTCAATCAATAAATTATTCTTTTAAAAAGGTCACTTTTGTAAAATAAAATCATTTTCATAAAAAAAAAACCGATCATTTATGAAAAAAAAAGTGGGAAAAAAGTCAATTCACTAATTTTTCCATGAATTTCTTTGGTAGTAGAACCTTTTTGCTAATTACATTAACTATTTTTTCTTCTTACACCATTCATTTCTATTCTTTTTTTTTTTCTGTAAGAGACGAATTGCATTTTTTAAATTTGCATCTATTTGCTGCACCATTTTGCATCCAACGGGGCGTGACAGGGACAATTTTACAAGACAAGACCGTATGATGAACGGAATAATAGTCAATATATTTTTTATATGAATTGGTAAATGAAGACCTTGGTTAGTGTAAGAAAGAAAGGAGACGAGAAAAATTATGACTACAAATTAAATTATATATTAATATAATATATAACAAAAAACTTGACCAAGTCACCGTCGATATCTGTGTAATTGAGAGAAACTTTTTACACGTGCGCATGGTAGCTATATGACAAGATTATGATCGACAAAAGTCATAATTGATGTGTTGGAAAACACGTCTCTATACTCATACAATAAAAAAATAAATTAAAATAAAATAATAAAAAATAGAAAAAATAAAAATTTATATGCGGTTTAAAAAATTTTCTTACGTCTAAAAAAAGAGAGAAATTTATTAACAATTTTAAAATTACACACGCTTCGTTTATCTTACCGATTTAAATTTTCAGTTTTAAATTTTTATAATAAAAAATTCTTAAAAAATGTCACATATAATTTTTTTATTACAGTGAAAAGTTCTAAAAAAATATCACATCTCAATTCGAATTGAAAATTCGAATCCGTAAAGTGAACGACGCCTGATTAAATTTTTTTATTTTCTCTCTCAATCCAAAATTTCTTATACTCTTAACTATCTCTCTCCTTATTTTTTTTCTCTTTCTAAAGAGACACTCTTTTTCTACACTTTTTTCCTAAACTGCTCTGGAGAAGTGGGCCGTGGAACAGATGGAGGTTCATCGGTATGCCATGAATGGGTTACTCTTATCAGACTCCATTTATGTGGTAGAAGATGTAGAGCAAGGAACAACATATCTTTCCTTACCTCCTACAGAAACTCAACTATGAAGAAAATGTGTGTTTCGTATGAAGGTATTAAGAGAATTATGGCCAAAGAAGGATCAAAGATAGGAATGCTTAAACTTCCAGATTTCCACGAATATGTAAAGGATCTCGATTATGCAGATAGTTGTGCCTTAATAATTGTTCTTCCATAGCTTATGCGTTTGTAAATGGAATAGGGTGTTTGGTTTGGTCGCAAAGCCTTATTGACATTCAGGAGTTTTCCTTTGGCGGAGAAGATCTTTTTATTCGCCTTGCGCACCCAGAACAAGGTGAAAATACAACCTCACTTGAAAAATTGTACAATTAAAATAAGAATCTTTTTTCTTTTCCTTGTTTACTACCTGATTTGTACTATAACGTGCATGTTAATTCTTCAGTTGGCGGACAAGCATCTAAGACGATAATCATCAGCGTTTCATCTGTATCTTCTATTGCAACATTAAGTCTCGTAATCTTCATCGATTGGCATAGGTGGAGAACTAGCCAAAAGAGTACGAAATCATAACTTGGCTTCAAAAAATTTGATATAAAACACAAATACAAAGTTATCTAAATCTTATATGTATATTGTACTACTGCTCTTTTAACGGGATCTAATTTTTTTTTCTCCAAAAACAGGAAAATCCAAGACCGTGATGGACTTTGATTTTATTCAAACAAGATCATATCAATCTAGGTCTCCGAATAAATTTTCAGAACAACATGATCCATCCGAACTTTTAACATTTGCGTTGGACAACATTTTAGTTGCTACAAATTAATTCAGCGACAACAAACTTGGGCAAGGAGGATTTGGTCCTGCCCACAAGGTTATTGAATTTAGTTTTTTTTTTTTTTTTTTGGTGAGTTGTAGAAAGCTAGTTTGTTAGTGTTGACGGTGAAATCTTGTCAACGGAAATACGCCAGATTACCGTCCAGTAATCAGTCGGGTTACCGGCTAGAACACGTGAAGATAAATAGAGAAATGCAACTGGTCGTGTGTGGATCCTAAGAGTGTTATGAATATGAATGAGATTGCAAATGAATAAGAAGAATGTCAGAAATTATAGTGGTTCACTCTTTATGATAGAGCTACATCCACTTTGGAAAAAATTTTATTATTTTCTTTCTTCTTCGATTACAGACGTTTTGTTCTCCCAGTTTTTCATAATCATTTCTCTCTAAGGCTTTGCCCTTTTTATATCTCACAAATTACACATTGGAGGAAACCGAGATAAATGGTTATCCTCCTGTCACCTCAATGGATACCCTCGAGATCTGGGTCACAAGACCGAATGTCCTACCCTCTGCGTCCCCACTAGGTCTCCACGGTGGGTCAAAACAGTACCCTCACCCCCATCGATTCTTCCATAGCGTCGTCGGTTTATGGGGCTTGGGATCTATGTCTGTCTTGACTATTTGATCAGTTGACTGTCAGCTTAGACGTTGCTGGTTACAATCTTACTACTGTTGAACGTTTCTTCAAGAATTATTCTAAGATGCCTTGGGGCGGTCGACCCTTCTCTCACTAGTACGACACTCATCTTTAAAAGCTGACCCTTCAATCGTCAGCACCCATCCGTCGGCTGATGTGGCATGGTGTTGGCCACGTGCAGCTCGGTTGTTGTCCGATGTGGTTGTAGCGACCCTCTTTTGAGGCCGCCACTGTAATTAACTTTTTAACTTGTACTTACAGAAATTTCTTAAAATTTACGGAACATTTTTTTTTTTAAAGGTCTTAAAATAAACATAAGATACAAAATTGCTTTCTTAATTAAAATATTTAAACCTTAACATATCTGTTTCAGAATCATAATTAACAAAACTATTTATAACATAAAGCTGATTGCGGAAATATTTGCGAGTGGTATCCATATCCCGAACCCCACATCATTCGTCCACTCGCCAGCAGTCCATCAGGCATTATATGCCGGTTGCTTACCTACAGTATAAACATTCTATAATGAGCTTTCGCTCAGCAAGTAGGAACTATCTCTCGCAAAATAACTGTAAGTTCACATGAATAAATATGCATGAGCCAATTATGCTTAATTATGATGTCTTATCAGAATCTTATTATCTTATCTTATCTTTCTTACTGATGGGCCCGAGTGCTCGTACCACTTGCGCGCAATCATCGGGACGTGAGGGTTTGCAAGGTCCCCCATGACACCGTGATTATAACTTGAATGCCTCCCTTGAGTCGGAGGACATCATTATTATTATTATTATTTTTTCTCCCTTGTGGAGCTTGAGTTACCTCCCTTGTGGAGGCTGGTACGGCACTCAACTGAGATTACTCTTATAAGTTCCTCTTGACTTATTAAGGTGTATGCAATATGACCTAGCATAGCATACTATATCATGTACTCGAACACATATAATTCGGGTGTACTGCCTAAGTGTATGTAGTATAACATAGCATAGCATTCATAACATTAAATGTACTCAAACATATATAGTTCATGTGTACTGTTTACTTTAAAATCTATTTATACTGTAGGCGAGATTCCTACTTACTTGATTTTCAAAGCTGGAATCCCTTTTTCGCCTATCAGCCTAGTCTCTTGCTTTCTTCTGAAACTGAACACCCATTAAGAGTGTGAGATTAACTATTATTTGTTATTTTATTTTAGCAACTTATGAAGGAAAATCTAACCATTTTCATAAGGCATATATTCCTTTCCTTTACCAAAGGATAATAAAGATTAATTTATTAAATCTTCAAAATCTTATTTTCCTAAATTTCCCTTGGTATGATATTAAGGCCCAATTCGGCCTAGGACTTATATATGGCATTCTAACTTTTACGCCGCTGAAATTTATACTCCAACGGAATCTCTTAAACTAATGTGGGCGTTGGACCCACATTAAATATTCGAAATTCTACGGACCTTGGGCTCGTAGGTGCCCGTCGGGATAATTCGCTCGGTAAACCTCTATGTTCTTTAAAGAAATCATTTTTCATTGAAAACTTCCTTTATGAATACTTTCATTAAAATGAGGTTTAATGTCATTGTATTTTACTAAAATTCTATCTCGGGTTCTTTTATGACTTTTTGTTGAAACCGACACTGTTTTAGTTTTGTCTCGTTAAAAACTGTGCAGTTTCTGAAATCTACGTTTTACTGTATCTTAGAGTCGGATTTCAAAATTTTGTTTTTCGCGACAATTTCTCGTCTCGTCGAGATCTAAAATTGTCGTTTTTGGTGAAGGTTGAAATTCGGCCTCTAAAGGCCTCGTTTGGCTGAAAACCGTAGCTGCTGTTTTGTTTTAAACTGTTTCAGTCAAAACCTGTGCCGTTTCAGGAATCTGTGTTTTAGTACCTCTTAGGTTCGGATTTTGAAAATCTTTTCTTCGTGAAATTTCTTCCTCTCGTCGAAAACTAAAATTGTCCCTTTTGTGAAAAATTGAAATTCAGCTTTTAAGGGTCCCGTTTGGCTGAATTACTGGCTGCCAGTTTTTTTTTTGAAACTGTATTTGACAGATTGTCCGTTTTTACAAAATGACTTCAAACTTGGTTTTAGAGTTAAAATTAGGTTTAGTCATAGTAACCGAAAATGTTCAAAACATCCAGGACTATAAGTTCAAGCTTTAAAACATTGAAAATCTCGCTCTATGGTGAAAATAAGCAACTTAAATCAAGCATAAACATACCACATCAAGCTAACCTCAAAACTCACCAAACCAACATAAAACTCACACACCCTTATTACAACTCATCTCCTCAAGAACCTCAAATTTACATCCACAAATCCAAGCTTAAAGTTGGCTAGAAATTAATGGAGAAGAGTTTGAGAGCTTACCCTTGAAGAACTATCTCTCTCCCTTGAAAACCTTGAACTCTTCTAAGATTTGTTATTGGCTTGGAACTAGAAAGTATAAGGAAATTTAAGAGGAATATTTCTACATTTCAAACTTTACTAAAACATAAAAAAAGGATTTAGAGTTATACCCTTTGAAAAAAATGCTTGTCTAGACTCCTCCTAGACCCTTTGATCTCCTTCTTCTTCTTCTATGGTTTGTAGTGGCTCAAGATTGAGAGAGTAGGAGAAAATATTTGAGGGGAAAATGGAGGAGTGTGGCCGGTTTGGGTGTGGGGGAAAATGAGAGGAGATGTGCAAAATGGCTAACCTAATGCTTGCACTAATGGTCTCACCTTTATAGACATTACTTGATCTCATCTTAGTTCTCATTTAAGTCTACCAAACTAGCTTAATTAGCTAGATTTTTGGATTAATCCCCCCCTTTATTGTGGCTGGCCGGTGGAGTGTTTCAAGAGGGGATGATGTAGCATTTCATGTCCAATAGTTGATTTGACTCAATCCCATCATGAAGTCCATGTAGCACACTTCACTAGCCAAATTTTTGGCCATAATCCCTTAAGTTTGGCCGGCCAAGTGAAGGAAGGAAAGAGAAAAATGAAACCTAACCCTTGTACCTTTGTCTACTTTCTAAATTTACTCATTAAACTGTCCAAAATTATACTGACAGCTATTTTCTCCTGTATGCGGGTACTGGATGCTAGTTTGTATTGTGCTTGGAAATTCTTAAAATTAAGGTTCTCAAGCTGTATCTGTACTAGAAATTCTTCCGTTTTAAAGTACGGTGAGAATTTATCGATCGAATTTACTTGATCGAAAAATTGTGAACTTAACGTGAAATCTGCTACAGAATTTAGGAATGCAGATGTTAATTCCATAAATCCTTCAATCACAAAATGTACATAGTATAATGATTTTCCAGGAAAATCCTTGACTCAAATACATGAATTACATTATTAAAATTCTGAGATTTTCTTGGTCACCACAGTGGTGGGGTAGATTTTACCTCACAACAGTTAGCACTAAAACATGACTGACAAATTTGTTGACGATTTGCAGGGGAAATTAAGGGGTGAGACAGAAATAGCAGTAAAAAGGCTCTCTAGTAGTTCGGGACAAAGGCACAGAAGAGTTTATGAATGAGATTATGTTGATCTCAAAACTCCAGCACAGAAATGTTGTTAGACTCATCGGTTGCTGGGTTGAGAAAGAAGAAAAGTTACTGATATACGAATTCATATGAGCCTAACAAAAGCTTGGATAATTTTATCTTCGGTTGGTGTTTCTCTCCCTCGATGATTTATTATTATAGCAGTTTCGCCCCTAAGTATGTTGTTCATCCCTTGCTTAATTTTTAGCTTTATTCTGTTTCCACACCTGGTTCTGCCATTTTCTAATGCTTCTTAAACAAATTCATGCAACAAAGCATAGCACGAAAAACTGTCGCTTTTGACTCTCGAGCACCAAAAAATACAATTAACATCACTAACGAATTTTTTGTCCGTTAATTAGATCCAAAAGCAAGAGCACAACTTGATTGGGCATCACGCGTCAACATTATACATGGAGTTGCTAAAGGTCTCCTTTATCTCCATCACGATTCCTGTTTAAGGGTAATACATCGAAATTCGAAAGTCAGCAATATTCTCTTAGATGAGAAGATGAATTCCAAAATATCAGAACTTTGGATTGACCCACATATTCCAAGGAACATTAGATCTTGCAAATACGTGCAGGATTGCAAGAACACTGCAACCATTTGACATTCTTACATACTCGGTTCTTTCCATTATTTTCTAACGATGCTGATGAGTCTTTCAATTAAATGCAATGGCTACATGTCTCCAGAGTATGCAATACGTAGGATTATTTCTGAAAAATCCGACGCTATTGGAGATAATCAGCAGTACAAAGAATAACAGCTTCCCCCAATACGACCAACACCTAAACCTTACTGCTTATGTGAGTGACTGAGTTCATATTTAAGTTTTCGTTGTTTGGTCGGTACGTTTGACAATACATTGAATACTTTGTCCTAGACAAAATTTCAAAAAATAAAAATAAAAAAAATAAAAAAAATAAAAGTAACTACTTCCATGAATTATTCTGTTCGTATATGAAAAGGGAGTATGTAAAGTTTAACCACAGTAGATATTTATGTATGAAATTCTTTTTGTCCCCAAACTAATGTTGCTTGGTAAATAATAATTTTCAATGCATGTTATAATTTTGAACATCCATGGCCTTCATTTTGAACCTTTTCAAATATGAACTGCGATTATAATTGTGAAGTGAGAAGAATGGAAGTCAATTTAAGGGGCTTGACCGTTGCTATCAAATCTAATGAGACTAGCAAAAAACTGAAACAAAGCCCTAACGAAGAAGAAAGAAAATAGTTATGATGATGAAGATGTGTTTCTTTGTTTGTTTGTTTGTTTTTCTTTTTTTTTTTTTTTTTTTTTCAACAACGAACTATTGCTATCGTCATGTGAAAATGAGGTTACTTTTTCCATCTACCCTTATTGGCCAATTACCCCACACAAAAAAAAAAAAAAAAAAAAGAAGGGATTTTTGAACTTTTTCAAATATGAACTACGATTATTGTTGCCAAATGAGAAGAAAGGAAGTCTATTTAATGGGCTTGACCGTTGCTATGAAAGCTAAACTTCGTCTTTTCAACAAAGAATGATTACTCGGAAGTTTCTTTTGTAGGCCTAATTTACTGATAGTGTTAGTTTTTTATTATTAAATCAAGTTAAAATCACATTATATTAAAAAAAATATACAGAATAGACAGCTTTGATACGTATAAAACGGCTGAAAATAGATAATTACTCGTAGTTTATTTTTTTAGTCTTACCAAAGAAGCTCCCTTCTTACTTGCGTCATTTGCAAATAGAGATGAAAGTTTGGGCCGCCGGTCTCGCCCTGAATGAGAGAGGAACGACTCAGCTTGAAATGCTTAGGGCGGGCTCGGACCGAAATTTTATATAAGGTATTTTTTAAAAAAAACAAAAAAACTTAAAAAGGAAGGCATTTGGGCAGGCCCGACCTACTCCAAATAAACATTTAGTAGATGTTTGGTTCATAGATTTAGAATCATGATTCAGAACTATTCTCGTTTTACACGTGTTTTTTGTGAGAGAAAAATACTATAGAGAACTATAAATTATGATTCAGAATCCGGGACAAATACAAAAAACAAACATCATCTTAGACTCAAAATCTTAATTTGGTTCAATAGTTACAGGCTTCGAACTTGTCTATTTAGCCTAGTCAAAATTTACAACTCTTTTTGTTTTTTTTCCCTTAAAGGTCTAAACTTACGTCTCTATGTGCAAATGAAACGATTTTTTTTCCCTAACCTTAATGCTAATTACCCAAAAATAAAAGGAGAAAGAGAGGTCCCAAAAAAAAAAGGGAAAAAAGAGGGGGAGATTTTTTTTTTTTTTTTTTTTTTTTTTTTTTAAATATCTCAGCCTTGGTAGCTGACGGCTTTCCTGTTATATATTTGTTTGGTATTAAATACGGGAATATGGTTGTTGTCTTATTTTGATCTATTTGCCAACTAGAAAACCTTTGGATGCCCTGTTTTTCTTTTTTCTTTTATTTTTTTGCTATAAAAATCAAGGGTTATAAGGAAAGCAGGGGAACATACGTACATTAGAAATTTTGTAATTTAATTAGGTAGAAAATTAGTTGAATTTTGTTTCTTAACCATCTTTTTTAATAAATGACTGAAAGTTTTTATTTTTATACAAATGAATGAATACAAAAAACAAACATCATCTTAGACTCAAAATCTTAATTTGGCTCAATAGTAACAGGTTTCGAACTTGTCTATTTAGTCTAGTCAAAATTTACAACTCTTTTTGTTTTTTTTCCCTTAAAGGTCTAAACTTACGTCTCTATGTGCAAATGAAACGATTTTTTTTCCCTAACCTTAATGCTAATTACCCAAAAATAAAAGGAGAAAGAGAGGCAGAGCTTTTTTTTTTTTTTTTTTTTTTTTAATATTTCGCCCTTGGTAGTTGATGGTTTTCCTCAGCCTTGGTAGCTGACGGCTTTCCTGTTATTAAATACGGGAATATGGTTGTTGTCTTATTTTGATCTATTTGCCAACTAGAAAACCTTTGGATGCCCTGTTTTTCTTTTTTCTTTTATTTTTTTGCTATAAAAATCAAGGGTTATAAGGAAAGCAGGGGAACATACGTACATTAGAAATTTTGTAATTTAATTAGGTAGAAAATTAGTTGAATTTTGTTTCTTGACCATCTTTTTTAATAAATGACTGAAAGTTTTTATTTTTATACAAATGAACGAACTTTTTCTACTTTATAAAAATTGTCATTTTCTACGGATGTTAATTCACTCACGGTTAATTAATTATTAACTTAGACCCTATGGTCAATAATGATTGACAGATTCATTATTAATTTTTTAATGATTTATCATTAATAAATCTATAATTTGTTGATTGAAATTTATAAAATTAATCAATAATAAAATAAACTCAATCAACAATAGACTAGCCAATTAATAATTGTCCTCTAAGGGTTTTGATCTGCACAATGGTGGGAACCTATGGTGGTGGCGGTATTGTCTTCTCACGGTGATGGTGGCAGTCTGAGGTTTCACATGCCACTATTGGGGCAACACTCCGGTATCGTCATGCATCTCTTGGCCTCTGTTGTTTGTTTTGATGGCTCTTTCGTTAGTCTTCTCATCATTTTCAAAGGCTTTGGCAGCAATCTTTGGTGTTTTTCTTCGTTGTTTGATTTTTAATATATCAGTTTTATCCAAATTACTTGTTGGTGTATTTATTTTGCTTTCTAGTGTTATGTTGTGTTTTAAGTCTCTAATTTCTTTTTAGGGCTTGGTTTTGTTCAGTGGCGGATAGACAAAAAGTTGAGTGGGAGCTACCGCTCCCACTCAAACTTTAAAAAAAAAAAAAAAAAAATATTACCCCTTAAAATTTTAGAATTTTACACTTAAACTCTCATTAAAATATATTAAGTCCCTAGTGAGATATAATATATTTCTTTATATGTCCCTATACTTTTATGACTTTTTATCAACGCTAACCTTTCATATTATTTCATGTTATTAATTTGTTAAAAAAAAAAATTAGTTAAGCTTCATTAAAGTTAAAGTTAAAGTGAAAGACTAGCTCTGTTATTGGTTTTGTTGGTCTTTGAGCCATGGGTTTCTCAATCTCAGTAATCGTAATTTTCCATTAATTGTATAAGTTTTTTATAATTAAAGAGTCATGTCGATCACTGGTGTACCTAAAAATGGATATCCAGTTTCAAAACTTGATACAAGTTTATTTCACTTTCGCTTGATCGTTTAACTTCGAGTTTGCTAGTGTAGCTTGTTGTCTACGGGGTTGTTATTGCTTGTACGTTGAAGCCTTGTGGGTCACAATTTATTTTTGTGTCGTCTTATTTTGAAATTTATTTTTTCTTTTTTCTTATTAAAAAATAGAGATATGATCTCATATCCATGATGTCATTTATCTTTAATTGTTCCCACCTACTAGTCCATCTTTAGTCTTGATCAATTTTTTCCCCTTTCCAATTCTGAAACTGTGCGTTTTTCACGGCCATGGTCTACAGTCTACACAAAGAAACAAGGAACACCAAGAAAATAGCTAAGCTAAATTCCCTCTGCTTTCCTATTTTTGTCGGTAACCTTGTGCGCTTTCCTTTCCCTATCGAACACTAATTGTCTTCCACGCCAAGAAACCCAATAAGTTCACCACCACCCCTACCTAATGCCTTTCACAATGAAGAGAACTCAAGAGAGTGAAAAGCACTAGTTTGTTTAACAATATGAGGGGTTTAACAAAGAGATGGTCTTTTGCCATCTTTTGCCTCACTTTCTTCACCACTCTCTTCCCAATCTCGCTCTCTGCAGATACCTTATCTTCGACCGAAAGTCTCACCAATAACCGGACCCTCGTCTCCGCCAGCGAGGTCTTCGAGTTTGGCCTTTTCAGGCCTGGCAGCAAAGGATGGTACTTGGGCATTTGGTACAAGAAAATCCCCACCGAAACATACGTTTGGGTCGCAAACAGAGACACCCCTCTTCTGAATTCCTCAGCAACTCTCAAGTTCGACGATCATGGAAGCCTTGTCCTTCTCGATCCCTCCGGGAACATCACGTGGTCGGCGAATCAAACCCGAACAGCACAAAACCTGGTTCTGCAGCTTTTAGATTCCGGCAATCTCGTCGTCAGAGAAGAAAACGACGATGACCCAGAAAATTACTTGTGGCAGAGCTTTCACTATCCTACGGATACTCTGTTACCGGGTATGAAGCTCGGATGGGACTTCGGTTTCGAAACGTACTTGTCGTCGTGGAAAACCACGAGCGACCCTTCAACGGGAGACTACTCTTTCAAGCTCGATCCCCGCGGATTCCCGGAGATTTTCCTGAGAAACAATCAGGTGATAACATACCGTAGCGGGCCTTGGAACGGGAATAGATTCAGCGGAGTACCCGAAATGGCGCCGGTAAAAGGTATTCAATTCAGCTTTGTTGACCGCGAAGATGAGGTTTATTACACGTTTTCCATAAGCAACAATTATCTTCTGTCTCGTTTGGTGGTCGGTCCTTCTGGAGTTCTCGACCGGTTCACATGGGTCGAGAGCAGCCAAACATGGAACACGTTCTGGTACGCTCCCAAGGACCAATGCGACGACTACAAAGAGTGCGGTCCATACGGCGTTTGCGACTCGAACGCTTCGCCGGTGTGCAAGTGCCTGAAGGCGTTTGCGCCGAGGAATCCGCAGGCGTGGGAGCTGAGAGATGGGTCGGACGGGTGCGTTAGGAGGACGGAGTTGGGGTGCAACAGTGACAAGATTTGGACGGCGAAGAACGTCAAGTTGCCGGAGAGTTCGAGCGCTTTCGTCGACCGGAACATGAGTCTGGAAGAGTGTAGGAAGCTTTGTCTGGAGAATTGTTCATGCACGGCTTATGCCAACGCCGACATTGAAAATGGAGGGACGGGGTGTGTCACATGGAGCGGTGAGCTAATCGACATTAGGGACTATGCTGAAGGTGGACAAGTTCTCTACGTCAGGTTGGCAGCTGCTGATTTAGGTAATTTTCTTCTTCATTCTAAATTTTACGGCGCAGGTTGGAATTCATGCCATTTAAACCTTTTACATTTTGTTACAATTTTTCGATTTCGGAATCCATGTTAGTTTGAGGCTTAAGCACTATTAGATCATAATCATGTCAAAGTTTTGAAAATTATCGAATCTAACTTTTCAATAATTAGATTTCTAGGCTGTCTTATTGGACTTTCAAGTAAGAAATGCAAGGGAAAATGGCAAAATGGGTTTAATTTATAACCATAATACATAATAACTTTTTTTTTTTGCTATTCATAATGCATAATAACCTTGAGACAGTGTTCCTCTGTTTTTCTTTTGGGATAGAATAATCATTTCTCCTTTTGAATGGTTCTCAACCACCCTTATGTAAACATAAGATAAGAATTTAGATAGTCAATAGGCTAATTATATGTGAGCAGAATAGTCCAAAATAGATTTCAGCAACAAAAAAAAAATGTAGGTTAAAGGACTTGTCACTGAAATGGTCCCAATGCAAGATGCCAAATAGATATCCACCACCACCACCACCAATACCAAACCATGTAATATTGGACACATATATTGTCTGAAGTTTCTAAATAATTACGTGATATATAATAATATATAGTAGTTCAAAATTTAAATTTTACTATAATAAAAAAATTTTAAAAATAATTAAATTTAATTTTTTTATTATAATACAAAATTATTAAATAAAATCATATATCATTTTAAATTAAAATTTTAAATAAGCAGCAAACTAAAGAAACAACAAAAAGCGTTTGTATGGGACCCACTGGTGTATATCCCAACCGACGTTGTTGACTTGTGGGAGATTTTGTCGGGTCCATAGCGGAGACCTAGTGGTCCTTTCTAGTATTCCTATTCTTTTACAAAACATTCGGCAACGAACAAGGTGTGAAAACTGCTATTAGTCTTATAAACAGTTAAAATTTTCTGGCGGGACGATAATTAGTCTTATACATAAAGAAAAAGGATTATTAGAGGGAAGCTTTAATAAAAAATTAAAAATTTAAAAGGAAATGCTTTTACTACTATATATACACGTCAGATACCTTTTAATTTTAATTTTCTAATATTCTGGGTCCAGCCATCGAGATGGGATGGGAAAAACACCTGGTACCCTTTATCAAAAAGTCGCGTCGATAATTCTTTTTCTTAGCTTTTCCTTTCTTCGGTTCCTTTCATACGTAATATCGCAGAGAATATTCTCTTTCATTTTGCTATTTGAGTTTAGAATTTAAGTTTTATTACAATAAAAAATTCTCACAAATAATCACATTTAATTTTTTTATTATAATAAAAAATTTTCATATAGAATTACATTTTAACTCGAATTAAAAACTCGAATCAACGAACTAAACGAGCCCTAAATTTACAATTTTTTTAACCTCTCTGGGGCTTTAGAAGTCTTGGTAGTATAATATTGAGTGTATATTTTGACTGAAGAGAACGATTGAGGAAAAAGTGAACGTAGATTTATGTATTTTTGGTGTAGTATTTGTTTATATATTTTGGGCAGAGAGAAGAATTAGCTAACAAGAGAAGGGTAGATTTATTATAATTTTTGTTTCTAGAAGTGGGAGGATTCATTTTCAACCTTTGAAATTAAACTAATGTATTTTGAGAAATTTAAGTATAAGGAAATAAAAGTCTTGTCATGAAATGTTGCGAACATAAGATATTTTTAGAAATATAATAAATAATCTTCAATTATAAAAAGTCTATTTGTTTTAACGACTCAAACTGTTATTTTTAAACTGGTATTTGTGAGAGGAAAATTCAAGGACAATTAAAACCATTAACAATAGTTTAACGACAACTCAAATTATTGATTTTAAAATTCACTTTTTCTTAAATTTTAACAATCTGGATTGTTGTTAACAGTCTAATAGTTCTAGATTCTACTTTTTCTCTCTCTTTAATTTCAATCTTAAAAATGTCATAGCTTTTTCGTTTTAATTACGATTTAGATGATTTTATTTTAATGTGTTCATAATGAAGAGAGGAACAAATCTCTAACCATATTGTATATTTTTAGTGTCATTTATGATGAGGTTTTATAAGATTTGTTACAAAATTTTAACGATAGTTTTTAACACTTTATCTAAACACAATTAGGATATTATTCTTAATTTAAATTATAATTTATTTATATATTTAAATAACAGTCTAAATCACAATTTGAATAATCACAGTTTAAATTCTATAGTTTTAATAAAAAAAAAAAGTTAAATCTTTACTATTTAAGTTGTTGAACCAAAAAGCTCAAAGTCCTTAAAATTAAAAATGGGGTTTGGTAGTTCATAAAGCTTATTTTGAATTTCTTGAATATTCTCGACATTAATGCATCCCACTATGTCAATATCTAGGTGGAGTAATAATCTAATCATAAATACCGCCATCAACTCTTTGTTCAGTAATAATCAATCTTAGCTGGTCACCTACAAAAATGTGGCAAATGTGTTTTCGTGAATCAATTGGCTTCTCTGTAAAAAGTTTGTGGGGTCCACTAGGCGGTGGGTTAGGTGTTCTTATAATGTTACAACTAAATGGAATTGTAAATGGCAAAGTTCTTTTCTAGTGTTCACCGCATCTTCGA